AAATGACCAATCATTCACTGAAGGATGGAAGAAGAAGAGAAGTAAAAATGTGAAAAGGAGAAAAGAAAAAAGATACACAGAATGAGTGAAGCGAAGAACAGAGAGCCAGCTGAACAAAAAGCAGGCTCTTTGAGAAGATCAATAAAATTGATAAGCCTCTAGAGAGATAAGGCAAGAAAACACTCACAATTCTAATATCAGGAATGAGAAAGGGAGGATCGTGATAGATACTACAGTTATTTAGAAATAATAAATGATGATCATTATTCCTTAGCAGGTGATTAATGAAGTAGTCGTATGACCAGCAAAATTCACAATCCACGCGCACTGGCTGTGGTTAGGGTACTGAGAGGCTGAAGTTGGAAAGGGAAGCACCATTCCATGACGTGCTATATATTATTTCCTTAAATCAAGTTCTATACACCACGTTTTCATCTATCCATAACAACAAAAATGTCTAGACCCTGATGTTTGAATGGAGTGGGGTTAAGCTTTCTCTACTAAAGTGACATAAAAACAGACTGGCCAAAGATTATATTATGCATACAATAGTATGCACTAAATGTTAAGTTGGATTATATAATTATTCTTTTGGTTGATGAAAGTAACTCCTGTCCTTATAAAGAAATGTATAAAGAATGTTGATCTCTTATGGAGAAATTGGTTTAAATGGCTCCCTGTTTATGCTAGAGTTATCTAAGCTTGCAATTTCTAGGTATGAATAACAGAGCTAAGTAATTTGAGCAACAAAATGACACCAAACCCTCAATAATTGGTTAAATAAAAGATCCAAGCTAGACTCAAGTCATACTTAATAAACATTTCAAGAGATAAAATAACAGCATGTAGTGTTTTAGCTAATAAGCTATTTTGGAACACTTGGATCACAAGCAGATTCATTGTACAGTAAGCCAAAGAGGCACACATATCAAGCCACGTTCCTGTTCTTCTGCTTATTTCTTTTCACCCATACAGGGATCAAACACATGCTGTCAACTCTGTGTAAATAAAAGCTGAAGTCAAAATTTCAACACTGGGTTTCTAATAACTTTCATACTCAATATGAAGTAGCCACCTTGAAAGAAAAGTCATTCACTTATCTACTGCGATAGTATGTAGTTAATGAATCATTTTACCAGGAGAATTTAGCATTTTCCGTTGATGTGGATTTAATTGTGTATATTTACTTTTAATTAAACATACCCTTCAGAAGATCCAGATTTCTTACCAACCTTTTAAAAGTTGAGATGTTTTAATAACATCTTCCAGGGGAGAAGTCTTTGTTTGTATGCAGGGGGAAGAAAAGGGCTCATAAATATTCTGGATTTTCGTGTTCTTTGTAATATACTATGTTTCAATTTACAGGGGACTGCAATGATGATAAATTTTCTGAGAATCAGAGAAAAGATGTATTTAATAAAAACCAGAAACCTGATTTCAAAGAAACTTTTGTTCACATTTAATATACAAATAATTACATTTATCCCACTTTTTAAGATGTTGGGTGAAGGACCAGGTGCTCACCCATAAGCTGTTTGACTTTCCTCACTCGTACATTTTATCTTACACGTCTTCATGAGACCTGGAAGGGATTTAGATGTAACTGAGATCCATGGCTAACTTCTTGTATTCCTTTGCTTTTGCAAATGATTTAAAGGATCAGTAGTAATTCTTCAATAATCAATAGCCAAGAAACTCAATATCCAGTCATTTCAATTGATAATCTGAGCTTCAGTGATAATTTGATGTTGTTTATCATGGAATTGCTACTTTAGCAACTATACTTATTTCTTGTGGCATTTTTTTAATGTGTGTCTCAGTCAACTTGGGCTATTCTACAAAAATGCTATAGAATTGTGGTTTAAGCAACAAAAGCATATTTCTAGAATACAGAAGCTCAAATGTAAGGTGCTACTTGCCAACTTGTTGAGGATCTTCACTGTGGTTTAAGATAGACTCCTTCTTGATGTATTCTCAAAGAGGACAAGGAGAGAGGGAGGGAGGGAGAGAGAGAGAGAGAGAGAGAGAGACATATTTCTTCTAATAAGAGCACTAATTCTTTGAGGTTTCCACTCTTGTGATTTATACTCCCAAAGACCCCTGTGGGAAAGAGAAATTAATATTGTTTCTTCACCTACCACTAAGTTTACAACTGAAGCCCTTATAACAAAAGACAAATTAATAAGAGAAAAACATTCCAATTGATTTATTCTGACTTTTATGTGACCTAGGAGCCCTTACTAAGGAAGCTAAGAAGGGAACTCTATGTACTTTATGCTTGGATTTGATGAAACTAGACTGGTATAATTGGCCAGAGTATGAATAGTCTAATGGTGTTCAACGGGGTGCGATTTAGCAAGCCCTGTGGCTCTGACTCTTCCTGCTGCATCTGTGTCTTTAAGGACAAGATGTTTCCTCTCCTCGAGGTGTAGGCTTGAATGCAGGAATGAAGCCTTCCTTCATTGACTTGAGGGGACAGTCGGTTTTTTTGTGGCTCACTTTAGAGATGGGGAAAGAGGACTTTGAGAATGACTTTCCTGTTTCTGTTTGGTCTCAAAAGCCATGGCTCCATCTCTTGCAGTCATTAGTCCTGAATCCTATCACCACCTCCAAGCATCATCCTGCCACTGGGATTTTGGATTTCAACATGGGAATTAAGAAGATGTAGACACTCGGTGCATAGTGAATTCAGGATCACCATACTTTCGTGTTCGGTGATAGTCCTGGCTTCAGAGCAAGTCTTGACAAAGAAGCAGTGAGTTGCAATAAGATTTCCTGAGTCCATGTTCTGCTTAAGTTCAGAACGAGACAGTATTTTTCTCTATGAGTCTTACAGCAAGCACATAGACAAATACAAACATTGACGTATATGGTAAATGGCTAAGGAATGGTCAAGTGTTGTACAACTAAGTGCTCACAAGAACAAAATCAAAGCCAGTTTGTAAAATTAAGTTTCAAAATATGTCTCTCAGCACCAGGAAGCTTGACTGAGTCTGCCTGTTCTACTTGGTGGCTCAGCAGGGCAGTTCACATAGAAACAATGTACAACATGTACTTTAGTTACCAAGCATATGTAACAAGGAGAGATCATTGACTACGTGTCTGGAAACATGACAATATACAGTAAATAGGAATTCATCCCAGGCCTCACAATAACCTCAGGTAGTAATGCTCTGCTTTTAGTGAGGTGAGGAAAGGAGGGTGACAGAGTGATTACACCCTCTTACCCCCAATTATTCATAAAGACATATGATCTGCAGAGACTAACAACATGATATGAGAAAAAATAAATTTGAAACCATCTTCCCTCCAAATTCCAAGCCCCAAGCTTTTGAGATTTTTGGGTCTGTTGACTTTTGGGTCAGTTAGAATTAGAAATTTGGGTACTTGCTTACAATTCTGTAAAGGCTAAGATAATACTGTAGATTTTTTAAAAAAGTCTTCACACATTAAATGCTGCACCTGAGTCTGAGGGTTAGTTAGTGCTAGAGGGTGCATTTGCCATGCTGGGGATCATGGGTTCATTCCCTAGCACCAATAAATAAATAAATAAATAAATAAATAAATAAATAAATAAATAGGAATTAGGATCAACCAAAATTATTTGTACAATATGTTTATTTAACACTGCTTAATAATTTTGAACTGCCAAATATTCTTTCAAACTGATTTTTATAGACGTGATCCATATGAAGCAGAATTATTGCTTTAAATGGAAACTTTACAGATTTACATGCTAATTTTAATCACCGAGTTTACTTCCTCCAAAGACCTGTTTTGCAATTTAATCTTGCATGTGTTCCATTAGAAGAAGATATTGAATCCTACACCGAACTGAATAAAAACCATCAGAGATGCGATTCTAATAATAGTCATTGAGTAATATTTTTCCAGTATTAATAATAGATAATCTACCAGTTATGTAAAATGGTGATTTGAGAGAGACATTTGGAAAAATATTGGCAAGCTGTTCTCTGAGTTCTTCTGTGCACCTCTTACGTTTATGAAATTTATGTTTCCAATGAATGCCATTGATTTTATTAAAATCTGTGTTTACTAAATCAGGTTAAGCGTTTACAGTTTTTAGGAGACTCTTGCCTGTATCTTCTTTTGTGACACCCGCTGGCCATGCCTGGCATTACAGTGCTCCTTAATTCTGGTACATCTGCCTTTCCCACAGCTCCAGTGCTGTTTTAGATAAAATCAATTTAAAATAAGGAACTCAGGGCGTAACCTGGCTAAAGAAGAGATATTTAAAATATGACGCCCAACTATGGAAGAATAAAACTAGCACCCAGAGCCTGAGGAATTACTCATTTAGCAAGTACGCATTCCCTTTCATTTCACTGGAACTGAAAGGGTTGTAATACTTTTCTTTTTCCTAAAAACTTTAGACTCAGACCACTTGACAGCGTTATGTATGATAACGCTATCGATGATTATCAACCAACATTCCCGCGACACTATGCGAATATTCTTTGCAACTTGACAAATATAACAGCGACAAGAACAACAACAAAATACCTCAAAGTAAAACTGTGCTCGGGGCAAGTCGACGTCCGCACTAAAACTGAATGAACTGCACCTGGGTCTCTTAGCACGGGGGCGGCGGGGGGTCCCGACTGTGAAGCAGAATCGTGAGCAAACTTTTTGTGTTACCAGGAATCCACCTATCCTCAGTCCGTTCGGTCACATGCAGATACTTCTTTTCAGCTCTAAGATTCACAGGCTGGAGCTGGCTTTGAAATTGCTTTGTATTTCTATTTAACAGCCAGGGTAGCAGCACGTTACAAAATTCCCTTGGTCTCCTTGGAACCTATTTATAAAGCTACTTCATGGGCAACGATTCTCTCTCTCTCTCTCTCTCTCTCTCTCTCTCTCTCTCTCTCTCTCTCTCCTCTCCTCTCCTCTCCTCTCCTCCCCTCTCCCTCCCCCCCTCCCCCCATCTCTCCCTCCTTCTAAACCATTGCCCACCCACCGCCTTATCCCAAGCCAGACACTGTCACACAGGTCTTTGCCGGACAGGACACCGTCGTCTGGGCTCCCCACACCCCGGCCTTCGCCGAGATGGGCTCGGCGCCCCCCCGCAGCCACGCAGCCACCCGCAGAGCCCCGGGAAGCGCGCACCGACTGTACTGTGTGCCGCCTGCCTTGAGGAGACTGTAGCTAACCACCTTATTAGTATTCTTGCCTCCGCGGTGTCTCGCTCGCCGGATCAGAGGGCTGAGCAAAATGCAGTAGAACAGGGACAGACAGGCTCTGGCAGGCGTCTCGGTGCAGGCTGCCGGAGGTTGGGGGTGGGGGCTGCAGCAGTCAGGATTAATCACCTTGCCTTAATCCCGGGCGCCCAGCGAGCAGACGCCTCCGCGGACTGACCGGCTCTGGACTTGCTGCATCTGCCCGGGGGAGAGGGATCCAGAATACACCTAGTCCCGGGGTCCGCCCCCCACCCGGCCCCCCGGTTTTGGATGCTCCTGTGGTCCTCCACAGACCAGGAAGGGAACAGCGAGCCAGACCGTCCGCAGCACGCGGCAGCTGCCTCTGGGAGGTGGAGGTTCCTAGTGACGGTTCTCATGACACGGCTCCTGCCAGTGCGCGTGTGATCGTGAGTGCGGGTGCCTGCGTCTGCGTGAAAGGGGACGCGTGAGTGTCCGTGGTGTGTGTGTGCGCGCGTGTGTGTGTGTGTGCGTGTGTGTGTGTGACAGAGCAGGTACATCGTACAGTAGGAGATTTCAACAGTGCGAAAATAATCTCGGGCTCCTGGACTCGCATCTGGAGTCCCCAGCTCTCCCTGCCCCCTCCCTTCGCCAGCCTCCCTTTCTCCTTTTGCCTTTGATGAGTTTTTGGCTTACTTTTTAAAAATTTTTTTTGGCGGAGTCTCTTGGACACGTTTTGGCTGGTGCTGGAGAATCAGATAAATGGAACCTTTGAAAACTGATTATTTTTCTCCTGTGTGACTTTAAAAGAAAAAAAAAGAAGAGGAAAAGAAAATAGAGTCGTCTACGAGAAGCTAGAGGGTTTTAAATTTTCCTTGGTGAACTTTGAGGACCCATCAAAAAGGTAAGTCACGAGACGACTTGGATATCGGTCCTTGTTTTCTGGCAGTGTGTGTGTTCCTGTTTGTTTTTGGAAAGCCCTGTGCAGTTTATAAGCACATTTCTAGAGACTGTAATGCTCAGAAGAGCTCAGCGTGTGGCATTTGGGGGTTATTCCCGTGCCAAGGAGATTATTTGCATTTCTGTAACCACCCTCCTCCATCCTTTTTATCATGTCGTACCTCTAGTACATATCAGTCGTTTTCTTAGTAGATTCTGGATGTATAAAATCGGGGGGGGGGTGTTCCAGCCTTTCCCTTCCTTGAAATCCCTAAATTTGAGAAAAAGCAATCTGAGGAGCTTCTGGCGGAGGCTTCCAGTTAGAGTGGAAAGTGAGTTTGCTCAGAGAAGGTGTGGGGGTTGGGGTCTAATCAGGACTTTCATGGTAACTTAATAGTAGAACCCCCCCACCCCCAGTTATATCTGCTCTGCAATAGCAAGTGTGTGGAGTACAGAAGTGCTGATTCCACGGCTCTGAATTGGAGCCAATGAGAACAAAGTGGAAATTGTTCTGGATTTTGCACCTCACTTTTTTGCACCAATTCTCTTGCGATTGCATCTCATTGACCTTCCGAATGCAGCGTACCCTACCCCCCCCCCCCCCCCC